ATGACCATGTCTCGATTGAACCTTGGAAGCAGCATGATTTTCAATCATTGTTGGCTAATCGGAGAGCTTGTAAAAATGTGTCCGAACGCCGTATTCTGTCGAAGCTGATCCGGACGACTTTGCGCAAATACCAGCGCCAAAAACTGAACAAAAAGTTGAACTCAATTTTGGACGACTTCACGGACTTGGACCGAATGCATGCAGCATTTCAAGACCTTATTCTTCGTACGCATGTGGACAACAGCAAAATGCCAAGCACTGAAGATTTCACGAAGAGCCTGAGTGATGTTTTCAAGTCTGACCGCCGAGACCATCTGACAGCACACCATGGCTTGCAGTATGACACACCGTTTGCCGACATTCCCCCCTTCAAGCTTTCCGAGCTGACGAGTGTACTACAGCCGATGGGAAACCGTCAAAGTGGGGATGATTTGGGGCTGGTGTTACGTAGAGATGTTCAAATACGGAGGTCGTTCATTGCATGAGGTTTTACTTGGCATCTACAATCGAATGTTGCGTGATCAATGTTTGGAGCCGTCTTGGCAAGAATCATTGTTCAAAACGATCCCCAAGCCGTTGCTGAAGTTTCGAACTGGCGGCCTATTGCAGTCTTAGCCGCCCACCCGCACCGCAAGCACCGCTCGATCCACCCACGCAGCCCGGCGAAATCACCGCATGGAGGCCGGCGTAGTGGCTTTCGAGGGGCCTGCCTGTCGGTCACGTGCAAGAAGCCACTAACTCGTGGCTGTATATGTCCCCCTGCTGCAAGCCGCCGCGGCCGACCTGACCTCCCACGCTGTATAGAGGCTTGGCGTGCCGACTCGCGCGCTGCTGACTGGCTGGGAGCCCGTCCGACAGCAGTTGGCTATACCTCCAGCCCAGTGGTGCCCCGTGTGCTCGCGGAGGCGGTGAGGCGCGCTACCGAGGCAGCACCGGCGTATGTTCATCATTCGCCGGACCTTCTTTCACGCTTGGAGCGCGCGGGGCTTCCCAACAACGCACTCGTCCATGTCGGCTGGGCAGTCCCGTGGATCGTTTAGGGACTATCCATGGCGTGCCCACGCATGGGGCTGCTTGCACGCCTGGCCAAGATATGCCAAGATCGTCGAGCTCGCTTGGGTCCGTGTGGCGTGCGAAGCCATCGGGCCCGAAGGGTATAGGTCGTTCCACAGCAGTGGCTCACGCACACGAAGGTCCTCTACGGTGTCATTTTTTACCGCTCCTTGGGGAAGGGTACGCTGCCGTGATGTGATGTGATGTGACATGGGTCTTTCCCGTGTCGCGAGAAGGCCACTTTTATGGGAGCTCAATGGATGAAATGGGGCAGTGTTAGCATTGGCAACGGCGACACGCCACAAACAGGCGACGTACCCGGAGCTCCTGCGCAACGGTCAGCCAGCATTGTACTCGGCTCGGAGGTTGGGGGTCGCTGGGGCACAGGAGATAAGGGAGCCTGGGCTCTCGTTCGCGACCTCGTTCGCGACCGCCAGTTGCGCGCCCCATTTGCTCTGCGCGATGCCGCAGCTACCACATGGGCTCGGCGTTGGCACCTTGCCGCTTCGACGGTGAGCGGTCCGCTTAGCATTTAGCGGAGACGAAGGACCCCTTCTTTCGGCAGGCGCAGAAAACGTGTGTGTGTGTGTGTGTGTGTGTCGGAAAAAAAAAGGCTACTTTTCTGCGTCTCCTGGCCGCGGCCAACGCGAGAGCCACGGCTACAACCAGCTGTCCGCAGGGCCACCATCCACAGATGGCCGAGGATGATCGAGGATGGTGGCAGTGGCCGCGCAGCCGGCGTTGTCGCTCTCGGAGATGCCGCTGGCAAGCACTGAGCAATCCGACGGTGACCCGCTGCCGTTGTCGTGGACAGCCGGTTATACGTAGCAAGCTTTTCATCTATTCATGTATAATTTATTGCAAACATCAGCGCCGACATGCCAATGGCGAAACCCGGCCTGTGAGCTCGACCACCGTTGCTTCCTATTTGCAAATCAGGGCTTGGACCGACCTGCTGCAGCAGGTAGCCGATGTGGCAACTCACAGGCCCTGCAGGAGCACCTTTTCGCGAAACACACCGGCGATTCCCAGGCACGTGCATCACGGGCCACTTCGTTGGTGCACATTGGTGAACGCAAAAAAATTTACAGCCACACGTCGTGCGCACGGATGCCAGCCGACCTCGCGCGTGGTTGGCAGAGAACAGCTTCCAAGGCTGTCGACGACGCTCTCCTCGCAGATCTCGCGTCCGCACCGGATGAGGCAAACATTGCATTGCTCCATCTTTTCCGGCCGGGTTTACACCGCCTCCCTACGTGCCCGGAGCTGCTCCTTGATTCAGCGGTTTATCGAGGTCTCCTGCTCCGGTGTCTGCGCCTCCCACTGCCTCTCGATGTTGCGGCCTGCCGTTGCGGCATTCATCCTAACTCGCTCGGTGGTCACCGGGCAGCCTGCCCGCGTGCTGGACTCCTCGGTCTAGGCATTCCCTTGGCGCGGGCCGCCGCACGCATCTGCAAAGAGGCCGGAGCTACAGTCGCAGCCAACGTCCTCGTTCGCGACCTGAACATAACCACCCAGAGGCACGACGACCGGCGCATCGAGGTTATCGCCATCGGGCTACGCCTCTGGGACGGCGTCCAGCTCGCCGTCGACACTATACCCTCGTTTCGGTTCTCGATGCGCGGGGCCGCCCGCGGCGACACCAGCGCAACACGGTCGGTGCAGCCCTGCGCATTGCGCGCGCCAGCAAGGAGCGCACGTACCCTGAGCTCTTGCCATCTGGACGTTGGCGCGCTGAAGCCGTCCAGTTCGTGCGACTCCTCTCCCGAGCACGGTCCGCACCCCCCCACCTGCGTGCCAGCAGCACCGCAGCATGGGTGTGGCCATGGTCTCAGTTTCTCGCCTTTGCAAGTGCTAGGTCCTTTGCAACCTCGCTGTTGTCACTGCCCCTCCACGGCGCTGCCAATGTCGATGGCTCGCCCCCTGACCTCAGCGACATGCTCGCCGAGCACCGGCCAGACAGCCCGCCACATCCCAGTCGCCTGCCCGCACGGCGACGTGCATTGCAGCGGCGCTGCACACCCATCCTGTCCTCGTAGCTTGCAGTGTGCACAAAGACCAGACCGTTGCTTCCGGGCAGTTGCAAAAAAATGCAAAAAAGAACCAAACAGGCACGACGCAGCGCACTGGGCTCTTTGGTACGACGTGTATTGCCTAACGCAGGGAGGGTCTCTTCCGTCGCTGCTGCTGCCGCTGCTGCCTAGGCTCGCCCAGGTCCCGTCCACAAGAGGTAAAGGCAACGCCAACCGGCTCTGCGTGCGGCCTATGTGTCTCGCTGGAGCAACATCATCCCCGTCGTAGCGCAGAGGGCCTTCGCCGGCTCCTTGCTGGAGCTCCCTCTCGACACCGTCGCCTCTGCTGCCGGCGAGTGCATGAGGTCCTGGGGAAGGAGCTACTCCACTTGGACTTGGTGTTGTGGTCGGGGGCCGGTCAGGTGTGGAGGCTGTCAACTGGCACCGGCTCAAGTGGCAATGCGAGCCACCTTTTCTGATTTTCTGGCATGCACCGAACTTCACGGTATGTGTCGCGCCGTTTTGGTCTGGTGACGTGGACGTCGGCGCACGGATGGGCCTCTAGTGGCACGCGAGCCCGGAACAGGAGCGCACTGACAATGACCTCGATGTGGCGCTCGTCGGCAACAGACGCATCAAGGCCCCGTAGAACAGCGTATATACGGTGCTGCAGGATTCGCCCGGTCCCGGCGCAAGCGCAAACCATCTCAGCATCCACGTCGCAACTTCGAAATGTGGATGTCGAGAGGCTGAGCCCAGAGTCATACGCATTCCATAGTCGGCAATATCCTTGGACGTGCTTCAGCGTTTCGCCACTGGCCACGTCCGTTCATTCGCACTTTTTCGAGGGTGTCATCGGGAACAGCGTCACAGAAGCCGAAGACCGGGTGAAGGCTATTCGATCGACATGGACATCATGGACTTGTGGAAGCATAGCTATGAAACAAAACCAGTCCGGGTAGGAGTCACGATTTGTTTTCCCACGATAATGCTCGATGTACCCATGCAGTGCGTGACAGCAGCGGCATGGCATTTGCTGCATTTGCGGCTTCAGATCAAAACTTAGAGGCTGTGAAATCCTCCATTCGTTACGATTTATGCAGGCCGTGATGTGTGGGAAGTGCGCCGCAACCTCATTGTTCGACTTGTGTTTGTCTAGGCACGATGAGTTCAGCTTGGCTGAAGACCTGGAGCAAGACTGGCTGGACACTTAGCGGACTTAGCGAATGGTGTCGAAGAGCAGTTGTTTTAGTTTCGTTGATTTCTTCCCAGGTGGAAGTTGAGCAGCTTCCCTACCAAATGCTGGTTTTCTGTACATTCCTGGCAGGATATGCGCGGATCTCAGTCAATAGGTCCACCATGCAATTTCGGTTGATCACTATTATGTTTGGCTGGTTCAGGGCTTCATTGCTGTTCATGCGACGCTGAGTACGAGGCCTTGACAATCACAGACATCATAAACGAACGTCGATGCACGCCGATCCTGGCAAACTGCGCAATGCCGTTGCAACCCGACATCGTGCTCGAGCAAGTTTGCTCGAGCTGCCGCTGAAGAGTCCGGCCGAAGACACGTGCCCCGCATTTCTGATCCAAACTCGCACCAAGCGGTTACACCATTAGGCTAGCGGCTAGCACGTGCCGGAGTACCACAGTAAGTCCACTGTCGTTAAAGTAGATTTTGGAAGATGAGTTTGGGTTGCCAGTTGTGAACCTAAGTATTGGCACAGTGCAAGAATGCAAGCTTGGCGATGTTTGCCGGCATGGACGGGCAAGCAGCCATGCTGCTTGCACACTTGTCGAAGGCACATATCATTGTCGTCTGGAGTGGCCGATCTCCCACGAGAAGTGCTGATCGCAGGTGCTGCGCGAACGCCAATCGGTTCGTTTTGTGGCAGCTTGGCATCCTTGTCCGCGGCGCATTTATCTTCAGCGGCTATGGGTGCTGCCATGCGACGGGCTGGCATCGAGCCGCCCGAGGTTGACATGGTGATGGTCGGGCAAGCACTGACGGCTGGCTGTGGGCAGAATACTGCGCGCCAGTCGTCGTTATTGGCTGACATTCCAGCTCGTGTTGATTGCACTGGCATCAACAAAGCATGTGCTTCAGGTTTGAAAGCTGTCGTTTTAGGTGCCCAGGCCATTGCAATGGGGCAGGCTGATGTGGCTGTGGTTGGTGGGACCGAAAATATGTCCCGAGCCCCGTACATAGTTCGTCATGCACGACAGGGCGGGTATCATTACGGTCACGGTGTGCTGGAGGATGTCGCTTTGCTGGATGGTTTGTGGGATGTCACCAACGATTGTCATCTGGGCACTTGCGCGGAACACACCATTCGCGAGCTGGATATCTCACGCGAGGATCAGGACAGATACACCATTTCGTCCTACCGCCGCGCTGCCGATGCATGGCAGCGTGGTGCTATGGATGGCGAGGTGGTCCCTGTCAGGGTGAGGAACCCTTCGGCCAAACAAGGCATGGACAAACGCTCTTTGATCGTCAGTGTCGATGAGGAGTATTCCCGACTGAAGCTGGACACGGTTGGCTCGTTGCCTCCTGTTTTTGAGGATGGTGGCACAATCACAGCAGCCAGTGCCTCATCGCTCAACGACGGTGCTGCCGCTCTGGTGTTAATAAGCGCTGAACGCGCTCGGGATCTCGAGGTGTCGCCGCTGGCTAGGATTGTTTCCTTCGCAGATAGTGCCCTGGAGCCACTGCACTTTGCTAAAGCGCCAAGTGCTGCAATTCGGGCGGCAATGAAAGCTGCGCGAATGTCCTCCATCAACTTCTACGAGATCCACGAGATGTTCGCTGCAGCCGCCATACTACATTATTCTAGTAGACTACATCATAAAGTCTATATTTTACTATACTAACTATGTTATATATGTACACGCATACAAACTATGAGATATGATGATGCTGCATGGTATATGACATATGATGTATGCTATATGATGCGCTGACCCGGTGAGCCTCAGCCTCCAGGATCCGCCGAGGCCCCAGGCCCAGGCTCCCCATGTGCGCTTTTGCTTAGGGGGGGTTGCCATTGAGAAGTTATTGTGGGGTTTGGGGTTTCCTCGGTCAAGATGATTGCGGGTCGTAGACTGGCTAGACTTGAGTCCAGTGGCCTTTTGGGGTTTAGGGTGTAGGGTTTCCTCGATCAAGATGATTGTGGGTCGTAGAATGGATAGACTTGAGTCCAGTGGCAAACAGGGTTTAGGGTTGAGGTTCTTGTTGTGGTCGATGTTCGGGGTATCGTGTTAATTGTATGAGTAGTGTTGTTGGTACTGTTATGATTTCGGATTCTGCGATCATTGTGATATTGCTACTGTTGCTGCTGAGGTTGCGGTTACGGTCAGCGTTGTGTTGTTGCTATTATTGTGATTGTCTTTCTGGTGGTTATTGGTATTGCCATTGCCATCACTAGCGTTTTTCTGATTATTATCGATATTTTTCGTTACTGCTATCGTGATTGTGATTGTTGTTGTTGCTTTGCAGCCAATGAGTCATGTAGGCTGACGACGCATAGTCGGGTCATTGTAGGCTGTCACTTGGCTCAGGTAGCGCTAGCCAACATGCGCCTGTTGGAGTTGGACCACTCGAGACTTGGATGACCCATTTTTTGCAAGGGCGGGTTTCGACTGCATGCTTTCTTACATGCCGTGCTGCTAATTTGCCATCGAGGCGGGTGAACATCAACGGTGGCGGAGTGTCACTTGGCCACCCCTTGGGGGCATCCGGGGCTCGCATTCTATGCACTCTCCTGAGCGTGCTTTCGCAGCAGGACAGCATGGAGCACCGGTTCTGCTAAGTGACGTCTCGTTGTCTGCAGTTCTGTTCCATGCAGGACGCCGAGACAGGATGCGCAGCCATTGCAAACGGTGGCGGGGGCGCAACTGCGCTGGTGGTAGAGCGCTTGCGATAACAGCCCAAGTTGAACAAAAAGAGTCGGGTACCATGATGCATGATGCATGGGATGCACACTGGCAGTCCTCAGCCTTGTATACATGTTTTCCTGGCAGGTCATGGTCGCAACCGGGACCGGAGCATATGCAACTGGGTTGCACATTGTAAGATGCGAAGAAGTGGGGAGAATGGTCGACAACGGCTGAACACCGCAGTCGCCATGTCGCTCGAAGCCTCGGATCGGTTCAAGCAGTGAAAAGGTAGGACCTCCAAGAGAAAATCGAAATTTCAGCTTACTCATCTCACACAGTGCTGGACCGCACTGTCAGGATAGCTGATGAACTGAACACCCTTCGTGAACAAAAGCGTCTTAGTTGAGATGCTGGCTTCATTGGCCAGAACGCCTGCGTCCACAGCTTGGCAAGCAGCCAAGCGCCACGCCGCCTCTGCTTCCGTGCATGTGCTGCTTTGCTGAAGCGTGCGGAGGGCAAGACCACGGTGAGTTTCGCTGCGCCGACCTTGCCTCAGGCCGGAGGTTCTCATCGCGTCGGCGGCAGGCAACATCTCCAAGCTTGGTGGTGCTGTGGCCAGCAGGACAGGGACTGAGATCATTGCAAGAGTCTCTTGTCAGGTAGATTTCCTGTCACGTCCTTGAAGGCTGCGTGAGGGACAAGTCGCGCGTCTGTCCGCGATTGGTCCGCCGGCCCTTCACTCCGCCTTGCGCTCCCTCACGCTGTCGGGGCACTGGCTGAGCAAGGACGTCCAAAAGCACCTGAGAGTAGCGGTGTTGCCGGATGTTGCTGGTCATGGTTAAGAGCTGAAGGAAAAAGAGGACCAGGAGTTGCTGTTCATCGCCGCACCGCGCCAGCACTCCTGTGGTCTTTGAGTCCTGCAGTGAGTGGATGTGGCGCTGTTGATAGGCTGTGACAGAAGCATTCCAGCATTCTCGTGCTTGGTGGTGTGTCCAAGTGCAAGCCAAGGAACGGCATGTCCAGAAGCAGGCCATTGAGAGACGGTGCTAGGCATATGCTGATGTGCAGGATGCAAAACCTGAAGCAGTGGCTCAGGATCAAAACGAGTACATTGAGATGCGACTCGTCGCGGAGCTCTTGCCGAAGTCGGGAAAGAAAGCACGCGAGGAGCACAGATCCGGTGGAACCTGAAAGACTTGTGCTTGGCACGTAAACGGCTGGCTAGCATTCGCTAGTATTGAGAAGTAGTTCTCCTTGAAGCACCTGGCTTCCACTGCGAACATCGGGTTCGTATCTCTGGAAGGGTCTCTCGATTGTGCGCATGTTTGGTTACACTTGTTGAATTGCTACTTTTCACGTTGCTTGCATGTAGTTGTCAGCTTTGCGGACTGTGTAATACAGCGACCCGTCGACCACAGCTTCTTTTTTGTTTGTAGATGTTAGGCTTCGGTCAGCTGGCTCAATCGATGGCTTGCTGCTTCTTGCCTATTTGGTTTCAGTTTCCATGCCGTGTTCGTGTGGTGTTGTCATCATCCCTATTTGTTACCTTGGGGCCTCTTTACTTGGTGATGCTGTTGGAGTCGCCGACGGCAGCTTTTGTGTTGACACATCATGACACATCTATAAGCATACGTGCGCACGTAGAGACACACATCTGAAGGAGGTGGTTCCCATCTCTCAGATGCTTGGCCAGATTTTCTGGGCAGACGGTCGCAGATCAAGTTAGAATTGGCAGCAAGCGAAGCAAGTTTTGACTTCATGATCTCCCCTTGCCTAGGTGGTCGCGTTGCCTGTCCTTAAGATGTTGCACCGTAGAGCCTCTTCGTCTGTGATGGGATAGCTGAGGAAGACAAACGTTGGCCAAGCGGCAGCCTTTATGGCATCTCGTTTGGCAGAGGAGCGCAACAGAAACAAAATGTTGACTCGTATAGGGTGGGATGAGCTTTAGCGGCACTTCTCTACTGTTTCGGCGTTGCTTGTGCTTGCTTGTGCGCTCCGCTTCGATGAATCGAGCCAGCGTGAACTGCGGAGGAGCCCGATGTCACGCTTGCACTGCGGAGTGGAGTCCTGAGCAAGTGACGCAGATGGTGTCTGATTCTGTGCTTTGGCCATGGCGCGCGAGCTCTTTCCATTGCAAGATGCAGGTGCCCTCCTTTCCTCGAGTGTACTGCGGCACATTTTTTCACGTAAGGGTTTGCAGACGTGATTTTGCGGGGTTCCGCGTCTCCCTCATTCGGAGTGCTGCGTTAGGCGAGACTCGAGAGCCTCAGGCAGGCGTGCTCTGAGGTGTTGGCGCGGTCGCAGGCAGCCAAGCCATCAAGGCCCTGGTCATTGCAAGAAAGATGCCCGGATGCACGTCAGATCTGTTCTTTGCATGATCTGATTCTTTCACAGCTCGAGATGCTCACCGTTGTGAACGAGCCAAGGTACGTCCAGAAGGCTCATCCGGGAGAGGACCTCGTGGTTTGTGCTCGTGAGGAAGCGAAAGCGGACAACAGCATGGTGGCTTGGCATCATCCAGTCCTGAGTTTGTGGCTCCAGGAATGAAGGCTTGCTTGTCTCAGGCTTCCAGAAGCAATGCTTCGGCGTCGGAATCCAATGCCAAGCAGATGGTTCTCGCAGCTTCCCTGCAGTCATGTCTTGGAAGTTCTGAGAACGCCTGGATCCTTGTGGGTTCCAACTCGTCTCTCCACACAGGCCCGAATACAGTGTCAGTACCAGCGTCTATCAGCATCTTGCATAGGGCGTCTTGCATAAGCCAACTCCATGGCAAGATGTGCCGAGGCCTGCCGTCGGCAGCCGGCGAGGGAGCGTTCTTCGCTCCAGTAAGCCATAGCCCGCGACAAGAAAAGCCTGCGCTCTGCTTCTCCGAAGCGTGTCGACTGCACTCTTACTGCAAGCCGTAGAATGGCGTCGACAAACGCTTCCCAGCTGTTGACTAACAAGGCTTGCCACTGCTACAGCCGACGGCACTGTACTCATTCGCAGGGTACGGCGCTCAGCGGTGCAAATTCCGTGTTATTCCAAGCGCCACGTGCTCCCAGGCAAGGTCAGACCACGCCCGCAGGATGGAGTCAGCCAGGATTGCAGCGTTCAATGCAGAAGACACATCCCAGCCATCCGCAGTGGTCACAACCGTTGCTGCTACAACAGCACTGCCTGTTACCACTGCTATCCTTGCCACACCGCTGGCAACTGTGAGCCCTACTCTTATCCCTAGCACCCCGTCTGTGCTGCCAGGCATAAAGCCTAGCAGGGTTACCTCCGTGCCAACCCTGGCTCCACGGACCGTCCTCGCCAAGAGGGCACTTTCGAAGAATGCAAAGCAGGCCTCCCCGACAGCAAAGAGCAAGACCACACTCGCCAAGACGAGAAGAGTAAGGCAGGCTTTACTTCGCAAGAGAAAGGGGGTCACCGGCAACGCGACCAAAGCGACATCGGCGACATCAGCTGCCAATGCATCTGACCCCGAAGACGGAGATGGCGGAAACAGCTCTGAAGGCCGGCTGGGCTCGAAGGTGAGATGGGAGTTTCCGAAAGTTAGGGATACCTTATTTTGGGGTCCTTATAACCAGGATCCTACAATTTAGGGTGCTTTTTTTAGGGTCCCCCGGTTTTCGGAAACTCCCAGATGATGTGGTCAAGCACAGTGCATCTCGTTCTCGTGGCTATCTGCGCTTTCCTGGCGAGGCAACGGCTCCAGCTCCGAAGCAAGCAGCGGAGCTGACAAGGAAGCTAAGAAGGCCGGGAGCCGAAGTGGGGGTCTGGTGCAGATGCTTGGCCTGCCCCTCGCACAAACCCGTGCAAATGCACGGATGTGAGGCCAAATCAAGCCCTAACTCAGCTTCAGCTTCGCCTTCGCCTTCGGAACCTGAGCCCTCACAGGGCTGGATCGCGGCATCCTCATACAAAAAATCACGTGTATCCACCCATGGCAGTCTCGCACCTGGCTGTGAGTCCTGGGTCTTCTCCAACTGGTTCTACTTGGCCTTCTTTTTCGGTACCGTTATGCCGGAGCCTGAGACAGACCGCACCGTACCACACCGCTTGGCGTGTTTCCGTCTCGATCCGCAACAGACCAGGCCGGCCTGCATGGGGTTGATGGCATGGCCGGGAACCCCGGCTTCTCTGCGACTCGGAATCGAACTCGCAGCCTGTGTGGCTTTTCCCACAGGATGCCGATGCTGTCGCGGATGGCCGGGCGTGGCTAGTCGCCTTTGGTCTTCTTTGAGTTTCTGGATGTTTCTGGTACGAGCACAACCGAGCACAACATGCCCTAGGCATTGCGTGCCGCCCGCGATCTAAAAGCGCTGCCATACTGCTGCCGCAGACAAGATACCAGTGAACTGGTCTACTCGCCATTTCTGTCTCGCATGTCATGGATATGATCTGAGTGCTTGCAGACCAATTTCTGTTGTGAACGTTATCGGCTGCCAGAGTAGGCAGGACCGGGCCTCCCAAAGAGGATTTTTTGCCCGAGCTGGTGCGGCAGCTTGCAGCAATGCACCTCGGCATAGCGATCAGAACCGGCGGGCCGACCTATTCCGAAATTGGCCACACGCTGTGTCGTGAAGGTCTGTACTTCATGACCGTGGTGGCAGTCCTCGAGTCAAGGTGGACACGGCTGAACACTTAGCGTCGCAAGCGAATCCTTTACGGGTCGGAGCTCACGGCGCTAGTAGAAGCTGCACTTCCTAAGGTGCTGGAATTGAGTGGCATGATTTCGGATTAGGGAGCCCATGCAGCTTTCTGACGGTAGTGCAGAGTCCTTGTATCTTATGTCGAGTTTTAGGCAATCTTTGATCGATCATTGGTAGTTCGTACTGACGGCTAAATCGTGCAAGACCGTATGTAATCTTGCATAACATCATGAACCGGACCTTCTGCATAAAGCATCTGCGTTTTCTCAGAAGTTTTCGCATACGGTAAATACAGTATATGCAGAACTCAGCCACGTGGAAGCGGCATGAAGCGGCGCTAGTTCTGGAGGGTGCTCGATCAATCTCCAACGTGAATAGTATCGATGCCGAAATCCACAATCCTTGCTACTGTTTCAGACAGCATGTGGTCAGCCAAAGAGAAGGTTGCAGCGACATGCATTCGGTGAAGTCGTGGAATATCGTTCTAGTTTGCGGGATAGCAGCTTGTGTGCCGAATGCGGCAGACACGCGCCCTTACCGACAGGTGGGTGTTGGGCTTGCTGCTGCGGCTGCGGCTCTGGGCATGATTGCGTCTGGTCCTCGATTTGGGGCAGGCTTCATAGGAAATCACGGTCCTGTGTACCCAGGTGGACCGCAGTTCAGGAGAGAGGCTTCGATGGAGGCACGGAGCCCTTTCGTCCAAGCTGGTAGTGACGGCCGAGCTCTCTTGGAAACTTGGAACGAAACGACAAGTCGATACAATGCGCGGGCAAGCCATGCAAAGGGACTGGGGCCACTAGGGAGGCTACTAGTAGCCGTCGTCCAGGTATCTTCGAAGCTCCAAACTCGTCCAGATGCGAAAACGGTAGGCGCACCCATTCATAATTCGCTCATTGGGATCCGTCATGATCTCATGCCGACTCAGCTGTTATTTCCCGTGCCAGCCGTCCCGAGCCGGAGCTGCAATGCACAGCATTGTTGTCTTGGTTTGGGCGGCTGGATCTTCCATGCTCCCCGCCGATCTCTTCGGCATAATGGCGTAACTTTGCTGGGAGCGTAGATCGCCTTCCTTCGCTCACTATTTCCAATCTGGGCCATAACAAGACACGGGAGTTGTGCCCCGTGGGTTCGTGGAAATAGGGCTGTCATTCTGGAGGCTCGGTTTGCTCGAGAGAAATGCGACCGCTCGCTCTAAGCCTCCAAGCGCTTCTGTGGCACAGAGGACAACAGGACCCTTGCCCCCCCACCAACAAGGTTCGTGCAACGGTGGACCCTTCCCTCTGTTGGACCGCCCCTCCCTTTAGGTCAATCTGCAGAAGCAACTGGACCAACGTGGCAATTGCAGGAATTTTGGCATTACGATTGTGCAGTTTGTTCATTGACGTTGCTTGCCTTCTTTCTGTTATGTAAATTTCGCTGGTTTGGTGTGTCGACCTGGTAGGATTCTATCAGGCAGCACAACACTTGCCTCTGTCTGTATGCGGCCATGTGCATCCACGTGCTTGTGCCCACCCTGCCGAGTCAGCATGCAACAACGCACGAGCTCTGTCAACGCTGCTCAGTTTGTTTGCCCTAGCTGTCGTGGCCCCCTCGGAGTTATTCGCAGACTCCTGCTGTTTCAGAAACAAACTGCACGCTGGCATGCGCGTGCGTTCACCCGCAGGCAGGCGGCTCTCCGCTCAACAGTGGTCGGGAGCACAGCGATAGACTGCTAGATAGCCCCATGCTCTTTCGCTGTGGTGCTTCTAGGATTTCTGGAGCTGACTATGTGACCGGAGAGACCGAGGCCAGTTGCATCAGTTGCAGGTCGAATCCCTTTGGCCACATTTGCACCTCTTTGTTCTCATTGCTCGGGTCGCCTGCGAGCTCGAGCACCGCAAACATACTGTTGGACAGCCGGAGAAGTGTACCAGGTCGCTAGTGACAGTTTCGGCATGCAAGCTGATCACACAGAGCAGTGTGGTTGTAAGTCGTCAGGTGCCACGTGACTGTACATCAATGAATAGGAAGCATAGCTCCAAGCCTAGATGACGGCTCATGACACCTTGAGCGCCACTTGCTTGACGATCATGTGGCCCCCGAGCGATCTTGATTCCCCGTTTTGGACCGCTGAAGTATGGTAGTATGTTGTTCACGCACACCGAGGAAATTTTAGCAGACGCTTCGGATACAGAGGAGAGCCAAGCCGCTGGACATCTTCACGCTTTGCAGGGTCTGCTCAAGCAGTTTGATGATGGCGATGGTGAGATTGGCGACACCTCCCAAGCGGCGAGCTCAAACCAGCTGGAACCGAAGATCCCCGAGAGCCGATCGGATTTCGGCGAAGAGGCTGTCGAGAACCTGAGCGATGAGGGGGGCCGCCCAACTCACCCCGTTGAGGCCGAGAGCGATCAAGGCAATACCCCTCAGAGGCTACGTGAAGCTCAGTTTCAACTAGCCCAGATGGAAAGAGCCCTGCAGCTGGCATCTCGCCTACAAAGCGCTAGGTCATGAGATTCGCAAAAGTGTATGCTATCGGGGCTTATGAGCGAGACAATCAAGTGGTGCTGGGTGGGTGGGCAGGATATTGCTATCGTTTGTTTTCAACAGCGAGGCTTGGACTCGATTTCAGTGCGATCTTAGCATCACCAGTCTTGTCCTTTTTCAGGTACAGGCGAGAGCCTCTCAGCAATGCATCGATCTGAAAGACTTTCAGCTCCACAGCCTCGGCCCAGTCATCCCACAAGCGGCAAGGACGCAAAATAAGACACCTTTGCCATTACCGTAGCAGTCGTCGCTGCCGTGGTCGATCGTGGTCGTGGTCGTGGTTGTAGTCAGAGCACCAGCAGCAGCAGCAGCAGCGCAGCAACGGCAGCAGAGGCAGTAACAGCCGTGCCTGCAGCGGCTCGTCAGTGTATAAGAAGTAGCTGTCCGCTGATGACTTATACGCTGGTTAGGTCCAATCGTCGTCGCTGCTATCAAACAAAGAAAGCTGGGCTGCATCTCCTTCGTTCACGAGGGTTTGGGTACCGAATCAGATAAAACGCAGTGGGTCTCGCAGGCGATAAGCACGTAGAGCAGTTCACACCGCTGCAAGAGAGTACTTTGAAAAGAGCTGCTGTAAGGCCATGCCAAGATCCTTGACGACCCTGTGCTTGTCTGGCAATGCTTTCGGAAACATGGAAGATTTGTCCAGGCAGCTATCCGGTTTGCGGAACCTGCGCAGTCTCGATCTGTCGTCATGCCGTTTGGAGGCTCTGACATGCCTGCCGAAGCTGGCTCTTGAGAAGCTGGACGTGTCAAACAATTTCCTATCCTCTTCCGCAGGCGTCGCGAGATGTGCTCGTTTACATCACCTAACCTTTGCAAAAAACCGGTTGACGAAGACTGACCAGATCGAAATGCTGCTGAATCTCAGTGTGCTGGACTTGTCAGAGAACCGGTTGAGCTCCAGGCAACTGCTGCGCCCACTCGCAGCTTGCTCCCTCCTCGAATCTCTTCAGATCCACGGCAATCCGCTGTCTCAGTCAAAGCACAGGGCATGGGTGGCCAGCATGTTTCCAGCGCTGATTTGGTTGGACGAGGATGTGTTGCGGCCTCAGCGTCTACGAAGGAAGGGACAGCCTGGAGCACATCCACATGACCGTCCGTCTTTGTCAGTTCGGATGGAGCAGGCTGATGCTAAAGCAAGCCAGCCAAAAGACCCTTCTGTCGAGTACATGGAGTACAACTGTCGATATGCGCGGCCCACCATCAGCAGCAAGATGGCGCAGGCCTCCAACTCGGAGGCTCCGCAGCCTGATCCCAAACAGCCCAAGCGGAACGTCAAAAAGACGACCTCCGCCTCGTCCTTCGCAGGCTTCGTGCCTGCGGCCAGACCTCGCCGAAGCAATTCGCAGCCAGTCCCATTCCGGGCCAACCAGCCGAGCCCAGAATACTTCCCGAAGAAGACACAGCAACGCGACACTCATGAAGCCAAGACGGCTGTTTCGAAGTGTCTGCGCCTGGGAAAGGACACAGAGTCTGCAGCTGTGTCCGCTTCGCTGGGTATGCAGACGCGACACTCTACCTTGTGCCGCGAGCTTATCGAGGACCCTCGCCCCATCCACCCTTGATTCCCCGATGTCCTACTCTTCGCTGTCTTCTCCTGCCGTGGGACATGTGTGTCAAGCCTCGCCGTCGGTTTCAGTTGCGAGCCACGCAGGAGAAGCGAAGGCTATTGCAGCGAGTGAGCGCAAAACTCGGGGTGCCTTTGCTGGAGATTGGTGCTGTCCTTGGCGTCGGGGTGCGGCGAGCCTTGTAGCCCAAGGAGGGTGTGGCTACTGCAATGTCAGCTAGACTCATATCCGCAGCAAATGCTGAGTCAGCCGGGGTGCCGGGCTCAGGCCTGCCACAGCACATGCCTCGGAGCATCTGCAGTTTTTTGAAATGAGGTCCTTGCCCCGCAGCATGAAGACCATGCAGACATCAGGCCCTGACAACAAGCTGATGTCCTGTTTTCGAGTGTTCCTTTGTCAGGTCTCTTTGCGACAGCTTGCGCCATGACATTCATCGAGGCTTTTCGCAAGTTGTGCAGTCAGGTGCATATGGGGCTACCGTCTTGCCTTTATTGTCAGCGCTTCTGTAAGGAAAGAGGACGCTCCTACAGCAGACCCGGCTGATTTGAGAGCTTATGCCTCTTCAAAGAGGGTGTGCTTCTCTTTGTTGATGACATGGCATCGAGTTGGTGCTAAGCACCACTCGAACCCGCAGCAAAGTCGGGGCAACGATCGCTGAAAACGGAGCTGCCAATGCAAATGTCGATGCCATGCATCATGGTTCCTGACTCTGCACTGCATTGGCTAAACATTAGACAGGCGCCGGGGGCTCCGACGCATGCGGCTGAGGGGTGCAGGGCGTTGTTCCCTTGAGTAGTCCATGCCTTCTGAGACCTTCTGAGCTGAGGTGCAAAACATTGATGCGCCTTTTCAAGACCGTGGCGGCGTCGCCGCAGGTGACGCGAGCTTGGTCGCCGTTGACTTCCCATTCGCCTATCTGGGCGGTATCAGATGCCCCAAGTCCCACTACTTGTAGCTTAGAAGCCGGCGACAGTTCCTGACGATCCGACGGAAGTGCTGCGCACCAGGCAGCTCTTCACCGGATGTCCAGCACCGGCAAGCCGAACTTGCAAGAATGGACGGATTCCATCCAGGCTTTCTCAGCCGTCTCGGCATGGTCTGTTCAAACATGTCCATGTTGGCGCAAGGATTGGAACTGGGGACTCTCAAGGTCTCAGGCCAGGTCGCCTCTCAGCCTTTGCTTTCATTTGGTGAAGCATGAAGCTGACATCACTCGAAGCGATCGAAAGCTTGGAGCTCACGGCAACCTTGTCGAAGTCGATGGCTTGGAAGATAGGTCCTGGACAGTGGGCACAGTGGTCACAGATGCCTGCGAAGCCGAACTTGCCAGCTGCTCTGCTGCTGCGCCTTGCTTCCAGACCACGGCATACCACGGCCTTTCGTTGCACTGCGAAAACGACCTACACGTAGCTGCATAGCGACTCAGAATAAACCAGCGTAAGGGTTTTCACGATTTTACGTCTGAAAGCAGAAGCTTCTGAAGCTTCTGAGGCGGTGCCACAATGCAAACCGTTCGCCTGGGGCCGCACATCACCAGAGGGCACTTACACCGCGTGCGCCAGAAAGCATGACGCAGACGTGCGCAAGCAGCATGAAAAGACCTTGCCGGGGTGGGGAACAAGGTAACCATTTTATACCATTTTACATTTGTAGCTTTCGAATGGTGGCCGATTCGAGCCTGAAGGATGTCGTGCGATGGCTGCTCTGCTGTACTTTGATTTCTGGAGTGTCGTTACCGCGATGGGTCACCGGTCACTTCGATGCCCTCAAAACGACAAGCATGCTGTTCTGCATTGTATCACAGCAGCTGTGCACCTGGCAGATCTCTTCGATGTTTCATGGCATCGACTCTGCGATGGACGGGCAGGCAACTTCCCGCTGTCGGTGTAAGTGGTATGACGCGGCAAGCAACATCTCCACAAGTTCGAGATTTCCTCGTTTCAGGTTGACATCCATGAGCTCCTCGCTTGTTTCAGGCCGAACTTTGTGGGTTTTCTCGAGCCAGCTGCAGCGGAGAGTTGTTTTTTTCAGACAGGCGTGGAGAATACGAAGGACAGTTTTGGCAGTCTGCCGAAGCACCGTCCCCACCTGTGGCGAGCTTCCAGCCGCAAGCTCTTCCAGCACAGGCCCGCAGAGCTTCGACCCTCACGGCCAATGCCGTTCGCATTTTCATTGGCCTGGCCGTAGGCAGCCTCTAAGTACGATTGCTATGACGGCCTGGACATGTGGCGGCAGCTCGGCGACTTCAGTGCGGGAGCATGCTTGCCCAAATGTGAAGCTTGCAAGACTTTCCTCTGAGTATACTGCATCAGGTTCGAGTGGTCGAAGGAGAAGACGTTGTCCTGCAGCCTCATTAGTGCCACACCCTCTGATGGAGAGAGCGTGAGCTAGAGAACCATGGACCATGGCTCGGCCGTGGCTAGCAGGCCAGCGAGTTGCGAGGAAGCCTCTCCCCGGATCTAACACCTGCACAGGCCACCCGGGAGCTCTGCTGGTAGTTTGCATGCGGCCCTAGATGCAACGTGCGCAAGTGTGGCGTGGCCGGAGGTCGTTAAACAAATGGACACCAATATGGATGGAGCCGCTGCCTGTGTTTTGTTGACGTCGGCGTTGTCCCTACTGAGACGTCTCGACGAGCCGATTTCTGGCCACAAAGGTAGTCAGCCATGATGAGTGGCTGGCGGCTGCAACCGGATTCTCCGGTCTGTCCCCGAGGAACCAGTACCTCCACACTGCAGAGCAGTTTTTGTGTTGTTTCGCCGGCTACTGCAGGTCGTGGTCCCTTTCTGAAGAGCTTGACCGAACCGCGAGCAGAATTTGCACTGCCGGCATGTCGCAGTCCAACGCGTGGAAGACGGAAACAGACGGGTGAATCTTGGCTGACTGCCAGGCCTTCAAGTCCATCGATGTGAGTCAGGACTGCCGGGTTCCGGAGGTTCCTTCCGAAAGGGTCTTATGCTCATGTCGATGGATTCTTCTCCGTCACGGCCTTCTGCGTGGCACAAGCAAGGAGGTAGCAATCTGTCGACGGTCAACCCCGCAGGCTCTAGTTAAGCTAAGTCGAGGCCGAGAGTCAAGGTTGAACTTGAGTTCAGTCGAAGCATCGTTGAGATGCTCGGTTGGGTTACGAATAGATGATTCCAGGGCAGAATGGATGCAATGTGCGTGATTAGCTCCATCTGAGACGTAGCTTGAACAATCATGGTGGGGCAGCGACTGCAAAAGTACATCTCGAGCTGGGGGCTTGATCCTGGCGATGTGCCCAAAGTCATCACAATTTTTCTCGGCGCCAAGTATGTCACCCTCGGGGCATTCGTCCTTGTGGGAACCCGATTCCAGCCTTTGCGCCGGGTGTTCCCAAAAAGGCGAACTGTAACGTCGGCCTGGTCACAAGTCAAGAGCCGTTTGGCGGCAGGGGCGGGGCGGCCTCAGCCGACACCCGAGGGTGGCTGGTATGAGTGGGCCTCTGACAAATACTGGCAGATGTCTGACAAGCTGCAAGCACGGTTGCAGACGAATCGATGGTGGATGAGCCTGGCAGAAAGAACGGGACAGAACCCTACGAGACTTGTTCTCGGCGTTGCCGAAGGCACGCTTCTCTGCAAGCTAACATATCCGTTGTGGGGGCCTTTCGAGCTCTGGGCGATCCTGTACACGCTCAAGCAGCGCGGCATTCATGCTGCTCATGGTTCTGAGGGCCCGGACGGTGACCTTATGGAGCAGTACACGCATGCCGCGGCTGCCGCGGAAGATGCACAAGACCTGTCCCCCGGACCCTTGTGACCTCGGTTTATGTGCAGATGAAAAAGTTGGGGGAACGTCGTCTCCGAGTGTCCAGGAAGACCCTAAGCTCAAAGGAAAGCTTTGACTGCTCGAGGATGGGAACCTCAACGAGATGGACCTGGCAAATTCACTAGGCTTGCAGGATGCAAGCTTGCCACTGGGAGCTGCGTCGGCCTCTCGGCACTTCTGTGAACTACATTCCGGTGACCAGCTGCCTCCTCCAAGGCCCCCGACCTCTTCAGGTCTGCGGCTTCGGCGTGTCGGGTGTCCCGTGCTGTCAGGTTCTTTCAGCATCTGTTAGCATCTTTGAGGTGTCTCGGTAGACACTTTGAAGACTCGTGTTCTGGCCGGGCGCCTCAGCTTTGTGCAATCTGTGAATCTGTGAAGTCGTCCGCAAGACACGCAGACTGAGGGCCGGTGGTCCACATTGTCCAATGCGTTCCAGAAGATGGACCAGGACGACAACCACCGGCTGAGTCGCGACGAGTCTGTATCTCAAAGAGCTGCCGCAATGCATTTCGACTGCTAGATTGTGCAAGAGCCCCCACATCTTGTGCTTTTGATTTCAGAGCCTGCCAGTTAGGAAACATCCGAGGGGATGGCCAAAGTTCAAAGGTTCAGCAGGCTGTCTGAGCAGGTCATTATAAGTCTAAGTTTTGGAGTGCGTCCTGGGGATCAGTGTTGCTTTGCAAGCACTTCTTGTGCAATTTGGTGCAATGCCGGGCTGGAATGATGTCGACGTCTTGGACCCCACTGGATGCTCAGCTCTTACAGCAATCGGGGGCAGCCTTCGATCCGCAGCAGATGCGTTCTCTTCGGCGGCCGCCGGCCTCCACACGGCAGGCCTCCGGTCTTTCCGATCGCATCTCCATCCTGACGCCGACGACAGCATCTCGCCGTGAGTTTCACGAGCAGCTTTGGGCCTGTTTCGTGGCCCAGACATGGCCGGACAAGGAGTTGGTTGTGGTGGAGACTTACGAGGACGAGCCTTCTGAAGTTCTGGAAGCTCTTGCAGAGCAAGATGAGCGGCTCGTGCATTTGGCTCTCCATCGACTCCCCGGCGAGGATTTCAGCGTTGGCCTGAAGCGCAACATGTGCGTTTATTTAGCGAGTGGTGATATCTGCCTCAACTTCGACGATGACGACTTGTATGCCGATGGCTATTGTGAGTGGATGATTGGTGAGATGAGAAGGCATGGCTGGGGAGCTGCAACGCTCTCCTCCTGGCACAATTACTTCGTTAGAAGCGGGGTTTGTGGCTACTCGGATCCAGAATCTTGGGATGTGGAGGATTTGCAGGAATTGATGGAGACCATTTATGGATACGGCTTCAGCTATGTCTTTAGACGTTCACTTGCACTTTGCCATCCATACCCTGATCTGGATTTTGGCGAAGATGCTCCTTTTATGCTGCACTTGCGGAGAATACTCGGGGATGCTCGGGTGGGCCTTCTCAGAGACGAAGAGGGCATGTGTCTACACATCATTCATCGAGACAGCACCTGTGTTGATCCGGAGGTTTCCCACCTGCTCTCGGACGATGAGCTTGAAAGTCTCCAGGTTTCTCATACCGAAGGCTTCCGAAAGCTGAAAACGCCATGGTACGTCGTGCTCTGGAATCTGATGCGTTGTTAGCTCCTTCCTCATGTCCTTTGTGCTCGCGGAGGCATTAGCGACCGAAAAGCTGCCTTCAGCTCCGCACAGGATAAAAGATGGAGGGATGTACAGCCCCTAATCCAGTAACATAGGGGTTTGACTATATTTATGGGCTGCCGCCACTGCCGCCGACCCCAAAAGAAGAGAGGTGACTATCCAAGGAACGCAGCAGGTGTTGAAAGCAGCCAACTGCAAGTCTTGTAACTGGCACGAGTAGCATGAGCACATGACTGATGCGGCGAAGTATTCGGACTGACGCAGTGCTCAGCTCTCGGACATTGTGTGCGCATGTTTCAGCAACCTTGTGACTCAGAGGCAAAAGGCATCCGCACAAAACCGAGTTTAGCCGGAAGGCTGTATTCGATATGCTTAAGATACGGAGCCAGTGCAGTTGTGGCCATGGGATGGTACGACATGGTACGACAAAAAAGTCGCGCGCGCGCGGCGGCGCATCGCAAGGCCGGGGCGGGCAGTGAGGACAATAAAGGTAGTGTGGGCGGTGTGGGCGGTGGGGGCGCGGTGGGGTCCGGGCACACATTGGCAGCCTTTAAATACTTATTTTACTCTTTAATTAAACACCTACAAATACAGCGGGCGGTGGGAACGGTGAAAGCGGTGGAGGGGGATGAAGGTGGTGGGGGTGGTGAGGGCGGTGAGGGCGGTGTGGGCGGTGTGGGCGGTGGGGGCGCGGTGGGGTCCGGGCACACATTGGCAGCCTTTATAAATACTTATTTTACTCTTTAAACACCTACAAATACAGCGGGCGGTGGGAACGGTGAAAGCGGTGGAGGGGGATGAAGGTGGTGGGGGTGGTGAGGGCGGTGAGGGCGGTGTGGGCGGTGTGGGCGGTGTGGGCGGTGAGGGCGCGGGGGGGTCCGGGCACACATTGGCAGCCTTTAAATACTCTTATATACTCTTTAAACACCTACAAATACAGCGGGCGGTGGGAACGGTGAAAGCGGTGGAGGGGGATGAAGGTGGTGGGGGTGGTGAGGGCGGTGAGGGCGGTGTGGGCGGTGTGGGCGGTGGGGGCGCGGTGGGGTCCGGGCACACATTGGCAGCCTTTTAAATACTTATTTTACTCTTTAAACACCTACAAATACAGCGGGCGGTGGGAACGGTGAAAGCGGTGGAGGGGGATGAAGGTGGTGGGGGTGGTGAGGGCGGTGAGGGCGGTGTGGGCGGTGTGGGCGGTGTGGGCGGTGTGGGCGGTGAGGGCGCGGGGGGGTCCGGGATGGTCCGGGCACACATTGGCAGCCTTTAAATACTTATTTTACTCTTTAAACACCTACAAATACAGCGGGCGGTGGGACGGTGAAAGCGGTGGAGGGGGATGAAGGTGGTGGGGGTGGTGAGGGCGGTGAGGGCGGTGTGGGCGGTGGGGGCGGTGTGGGCGGTGGGGGCGCGGGGGGGTCCGGGCACACATTGGCAGCCTTTAAATCCTCTTTATTCTTTAAACACCTACAAATACAGCGGGCGGTGGAGACGGTGAGAACGGTGAAAGCGGTGGAGGGGGATAAAGGTGGTGGGGGTGGTGAGGACGGTGAGGGCGGTGTGGGCGGTGTGGGCGGTGGGGGCGAACGTGGAAAGCGGTGGATGAAGGTGGTGGGGGTGGTGAGGGCGGTGAGGGCGGTGTGGGCAGTGGGGGCGGTGTGGGCGGTGTGGGCGGTGGGGGCGCGGGGGGGTCCGGGCACACATTGGCAGCCTTTAATTTCTCTTTACTCTTTAAACACCTACAAATACAGCGGGCGGTGAGAGCGGTGGAGACGGTGGTGAAGCGGTGAAAGCGGTGGAGGGGGATGAAGGTGGTGGGGGTGGTGAGGGCGGTGAGGGCGGTGTGGGCGGGCGGTGCGGGGGGGTCCGGGCACACATTGGCAGCCTTTAAATACTCTTTACTCTTTAAACACCTACAAATACAGCGGGCGGTGAGAGCGGTGGAGACGGTGGGAACGGTGAAAGCGGTGGAGGGGGATGAAGGTGGTGGGGGTGGTGAGGGCGGTGAGGGCGGTGTGGGCGGTGGGGGGGGTGAAATGCTCTTTACTCTTGAAACACCTACAAATAGAGCGGTGGAGACGGTGGGAACGGTGAAAGCGGTGGAGGGGGATGAAGGTGGTGGGGGTGGTGAGGGCGGTGAGGGCGGTGTGGGCGGTGGGGGCGGTGTGGGCGGTGTGGGCGGTGGGGGCGCGGGGGGGTCCGGGCACACATCGGCAGCCTTTAAATACTCTTTACTCTTTAAACACCTACAAATACAGCGGGCGGTGAGAGCGGTGGAGACGGTGGGAACGGTGAAAGCGGTGGAGGGGGATGAAGGTGGTGGGGGTGGTGAGGGCGGTGAGGGCGGTGGGGGCGCGGGGGGTCCGGGCACACATTGGCAGCCTTTAAATACTCTTTACTCTTTAAACACCTACAAATACAGCGGGCGGTGAGAGAAAGCGGTGGAGGGGGATGAAGGTGGTGGGGGTGGTGAGGGCGGTGAGGGCGGTGTGGGCGGTGTGGGCGGTGTGGGCGGTGAGGGCGCGGGGGGGTCCGGGCACACATTGGCAGCCTTTAAATACTTTTTTTACTCTTTAAACACCTACAAATAACGGTGAAAGCGGTGGAGGGGGATGAAGGTGGTGGGGGTGGTGAGGGCGGTGAGGGCGGTGTGGGCGGTGGGGGCGGTGTGGGCGGTGGGGGTGCGGGGGGGTCCGGGCAGACATTGGCAGCCTTTAAATACTTTTTAAAAGGGCGGCGGTGGCGGTAGGGGCGGTGTGGGCGCGGAGGGGTCTGGGCACACATTGGCAGCCTTTAAATACTCTTATATACTCTTTAAACACCTACAGATACAGCGGTGAAGGACTCTTTAAACAGAGCGGTGGTGGAGGTTGTGAGGGCGGTGGGGGCACTGGGGGCGCGGAGAGGTCCGGGCACACATTGGCAGCCTTTACATACTCTTTAAACACCTATAACAGCGGTGAAAGACTCTTTTAACAGAGCGGTGGAGGCGGTGGAAGCGGTGTGGGTGCGGACACCTCTCGGGATATCACGGGCGCCGCCCGCAGGGGTCGGCGGATACTCTGATTGGCAACAGTATGCCGTTCTAGCCCCGCCCTGCCCTGAACCCTAGCAGGAAGGCGTGCTGTCTGAGGGATGAGGACGAGATCATGTACTGTTTGCTTTACATGCGTTAGTATGGGCTCAGCCGTGTTGTTCTCGTGTCGGTCCCGCTGCCCCCAAATAACGGTAGTAAGGGTAGCAATCAGACCCCCATGAAGCCGTGCCTGCATTGAGCTAGTCTGCGAGTCGAAAGCCTAAACCCTAGGGGAAAAAACCGCCATGCGAGTTGCGAGAGTGTAAAACAGCCATGCGAGAGGGAACAAATGCCCTAAACCCTATTAACTCTCCCTATTTTGCAGCCTATGAAGCGCCCCATATGCCAAGGTTTAGCACAGGCTTGGAAGAGCTTCGGCCGCCCATTGAAGATAAGGAGGAGATGGCGAAAGCCTTGGCACCGAGATCAGCCTAGTACACTATAGTAAATTTTAGCATATCCGAGTGTATTCTAGCGTATTATAGTGTAGTATATACTATATAGTATACTATAGCACAGTATATTTATTATAGTATATTTGTCGTCGCTTCTTCCATCACAGCGGCCAAGGCACGCCTTTTCGAAGGTTTTGATGCACTCAATGACGGCAGAATTACGCCTCCAGAGCCTGTTGCTCAGACATGGTCAGACTACTGTATCCCAACGTTCGAATCAATTCGGAGCTGCTTGGATTCCTTTCAGGTGGCATGGTACGCTGCAGAGTGGACAGCTCTTCCAGTCTCCAGAGGCTCTTGGGTGATGCGCAGTCTGACATGCGCGATTGTGACATGGCGACATGCCACTCTGTTCGACAGTTGGTCTTGCCTGTCAAATATGCATGTGATGATGGGGTCACCACAAAACGAGGCCCTGCAGAAGGTACTGCACATGGGGGCGGTGGATGACTAAGTTGGAGAGACCTGCGGACCTGCCGGAAATTTCTTCTTGTCCGTCACTTCAGGCGGATAGCTCGAGCTGGATTCACCGGTCGTCCAAATCTCGGTATTTGCTGAAGTTGAGAAGGTATTCCTAATCGTAGTCTCGCACATCGACGACCAGCCATCCAGCTTGAAACAGGCCTCTGCAGACAGACTCCCTCCGAGGCGGGCCTTCCATGTTGTACAGAGACCTGAAAATTTTTCGATGCTGCTAGGGGCAGAGCAGCAGGGACCTCGAATGCAAACCTCGGCGGTCGCCGGATCGGAGATTTTGTCTTGGGCTTTGCCGAGGACCACGGACCGCTCCAAGTTGAGCGGAAATCTTCAAACTCTCTCTGCGCACGTCGAGGGCCTCAGCCCTCGACCCATCTCAGCCCTTCCCCGCCCTGAGCTGTGCGCTGTCTCAGGCAGAGGGCAAATTTCGGGAGAAGGCCGGGCTCTCGGAGTGTCGGCCCGGCGGTTTGCCTGGTCTTTGCGACGTCGGCCGAGGCGGTGCAATGGGCGGGGAGCATGAGGAGCGCATGCTCGAAAATGGGTGTCCTCCATGCACCTGGGCCCTGTTAATAGCTGATGCGGGAATGTGACCCATCGTACTCTACCCTTCCCCAGATTGGGTTTTGCAGATGCGTCCTTGATTTGCAAACTCAATTGTCAGGTCGTGTTGTGTTTCCGGGTTTGGTTGGCTTGCTTGCGTGCATGCTGGGTTATCTATCTCACAGTAAATTATGGTAGTTTAGTCCGGGTCACGTTTGTGGACTGGGGTCTCAGCCAGCGTAGAGTGCTTGTTTTGAAACGCTTGCAGCCAGTCCATGTCCACTGGGTGTGCGTACGGTTCTACGGTTCCTTTGTTTTGTTTATCGAGTGCGAGTGCTAGAAAACCGTGACGCATGTTTATGCCATATGAGGGTTTGATTTCCGATGATCTTTACTATCACTACTACTAATGGATGAATTTAGCGTTTTCTTGTGTTTACATGTTTATGTATGTATATATATACATATATATATATATATATATTTGTTTCAAGGGACGTATGTACAACTCAGGGTGACATCTCGCTGAGCGCCTTCCAAGCGGCCATCGGAGCTTTCGAGCCGCTTCTGGGAGTTTCTTGGCAGATGCAGAGGGAAGCTATACATGCATATAAATGTAAATACACACACATAAATTTATGTATACATACATACATATATATATATATATAAAGTATGTCTGTTTCTACCTATACACATAGAGGCTCCAGTGTCCTGCAACCGCAAGGGTGTTCGCACCCATAGGAAGACAATCAATCAATCATACACAGAGAGGAACTGGGTTTTACTGGGGAAACACAATGAATACAAGAGTTTGAACACATAAACTGTGTAGTTAATTGTTCTGGCGTCTGGGGTTTATCAACCCTCTATCCTAACAACAAACTCTGGGTTTAATCTGGTAGGGAGGAGACAATTACCTGCCAAGTTAATTGTCGGTCTTCTTCCGCACGCCTGTCCGGACACTTAGCTCTGGATTTAATACCGGAGATGTGGAACCGAAACGAAGCACCGATAGCTTGCTACTTTCCCAAGTGGCTTACTCTTTTCCGGAGCACGGGAAACATTCGATCAGGGGTTAATTGTTCTTGAAGACACGAGACGCAGAACCGAAACGAAGACCACGAAGCGACGTACCGATGGCTTAATCGTTTCCGGAGCACCGAAAAACAATTAACTTCGGAGTTAGTTGTTTTCGAAGACCTGAAGTGGACAAACAATGAAATTTTGATATACTTGCCTCGCAAGCCAAGCATATACCTGCAAGAATTAAGTCTCGATTTATTTTTTTTCGAGTCCTGGCGTTCGGACCCTGCCCCTGACGGACCAATTAACTCTGGATTTAATTCTTTTTAGCTTTTGTTTTCATTGCCTTTCGTTTTGCTGGATAAGTGATAAAGGCAAGTGCGTATGGGTCTATGTTTGTATATATATATATATATACATATACATATTTACACACATACACACACAACATACATATGTATATATACATATCTATATATATGGACATGCCACTGCTATCCGAAGCAATGCAAAAAATCTATATATATACATATATATATGTATATATGTACACATGTATGTATGTACGTATGTGTACGGTGGATGCGAGCTGCGGCTGCAAGCAGAGCGTGAGCCAAGGGCGAAACCGCAGGCGCCCGGAGCCCAGTGCAAAGCCACAGCGGAGGTCCTAGGGTTTAGAAAAGGGTTTTGAACCATAAGTAGGGTTTTGAGAGTCCACGGCCTCGGGATTTCGGGTGTTGGGTTGAATGGCAGCTTTCGGCATCACGCGCTTTGGAGTTCAAGGGTTTTAAGGGTTTAGAGCTTGAAGGGTTTTGGGGTTTACATTAGGAACTATAGGGGTTGTGAGGGGCGCTGGTTTGCCATTCCTAAGGCCTTGTTCAACAAGATTGACGAGGACCACAACGGCTTTATCAGCAGCCAAGAGTGCCCGGGCATGCCTAAGCTCGTCGTCGGCTCGTCTGCCACTGGCCTCACCATTCGCGCAAGCTTAGCATTGCAGGTGCTTCCTATCGCAGCAAGAGCTGCGGGAGCAGCTCTCCTCGGTGAAGTCGCTGCGCAATCTGTGCGCCTTGGGCAGTGCTACTAAAGAAGGAGTTCGCTAGGCCATGTGCTGCACGCAGGTTCTGTGATGCAGATTTCAACAACGATGGTCAGCTTTCGCGGGACGAAGCTCGGCTTCTGCCGATGTGTGATACCGGTCGTGAAAGCGCATCCTGCATGCTGCTTTGCTCAGCTCAGGAATTCGGGAAACTCGGCAGGCTCTTGAACAAGGGGTCTTCTGCGGAGAGGTATTCAGCAGGAGACTCTGCAACCACGACCTGCAAGATTGCAAGATCGGACAGTGCTGTGATTGGCCCAGGCCTACTTCGATGAGTTAGCAGGGACTGGTCAGCCCCCGCTTACGCTGTTTGATCCCCAGCTGCGGCTTCGCTGATTCCTTGCTTCACGCATAGATCTCGGCTGCAGGGCAGCCCTCGAGACGCTGGCCGGCAGATCCGATTCTTCCCAGCACGTATTGCCCAAGTCCCAGCGCTTTCTGGTGTTGCTGCTGTGGTTTTCCGTGGTGTGATTGCTTATAGGTCCAAAGAAGAGAGCTCAAAGTACAACGTCCCTGCGATTGTTCATGGGAAGTGCATCCTCAGTGTGCGGACCACGGGCAATGGGGCTGTTGACAAGCGCCAACATCATTTCTGCCCATTTACTCTGGAGCTTTGTGGTCACCAGGTGAAGGGGGACAGTGTCCCACCTGGATTGAGCGAGAAGGTGCCTGCCGCAGATACCTTTCTCCCATGCCTGTTCAAGATTCGCGTGGAGGTGGGTAAGGCTTTCTCTGCCACCCTCTCGCAGCAGCTTGGGGTGACAGTCAGAGTCGCAGGGGCGCAGGTGCAGCCTTTTCAGCAGCCTCCTTGAATTTTAGAAACAATCCTCGAGGTTTCACTGATGAAGAGAACTCTGGGGCAAGTCGCCTGCTAGGAGCAACGCGGAACAACATCAAAAGAGTTTGATGTGCTGTACACCTCCAAGACACAGGATGGTGCAGTGAGCCCCTGAGTGACACGAAGCCCGGCCTCTTTGCCGTGGTTTCAGCATGTTGAGTCGAGGTAGTTATGCAGAAGTTGCACGAGAATGCTGGGCTCCTAAAACACAACTCCCCATCAGTACACGTCTGCTGCACTTCTGGGCTCCGTGCAAGGCCGGCAGCATTCAGTCGGAGTTGGAAGAAGCAGTTGCGGCGGACGGGGTCTCAGAATGCGACGCAGGAGGACTAGGGAGAATCGAGAGGGATGCCCAGCTGCTGCCGACTTCTTGCGCGTATTGCTGCAGATGATCTCAACATCTGCTTCCACGACTGTGCGGTGCTTGGAATTTGCAGGTAGTAGCACCAAGGGCACTCAATCGTTCGACGTCAGGCTTGGTGCAAGAGCACCCTGGACTTTTACGGTCCTGAGGTTCGGGAAGATAGCGCATTGTTGAGTGTGGTGCAGTCCCTGCTCGCAGGCGGGGAAGCTTCCAAAAGGCCAGAAGGTCACGCAGGAATTTGGCGTGAGCCCCGGTCAGCTCAGCCCAGTAGCTCCGAGGCATAGAAGACTCCGGAAGCAAGTGTAAGTGAAGCTGAGCGAAGGTCAACTGGCCGGCCAGGCTAAGGAAAGTGCGGTCCCGCCGCTTCCCTTGGCTCTCTTCTCAACAAGTCGGTTCTGTTTGCTCCCTGCTTTGCTAAGGTATGTCACAGGGCACTGAGGTCTGGAAATTCTAGCTTCCAGCTGAGCCTAGCTGGTATGCTCGCAAGCCTGAAGATGGAAACCCTGCCTTTAGAAAGAACAACGATATACTAACATACGAAAGTACAAAATGAGATTAGCCGTAACTGTGTCGGTCAAGGAGCCGTGAAAGGCTTGGGGATCGCCAGGCCATGTACATTTGGTGTCACTTTGTTGTCGTTTGCATCCGGACTGGCTCGTAAACTGACGATGCAAAGTCGTCTCTACTGAGCAGTGTGAGAAGCTTCGGGTCGCCTCGCCAGTCCGCTTCATAAAATTCAAGCTGTGAATTGCAGCCCCTGCAACGGAAACCTGAAGGCTAAACGGCCCAAAGAAGAGCGCCAGCAAGAGCTGTTGTGGCTTTGATCGAGTACTGCCTCGACTTCCGTGCACGTGCCTTGGGCAAGACCCAACCTTGCAGCCTTTGGGATCGAAGAAGATGAGCTCTCCCACTCTGGCCATGCAGGGCCGCAGCCTCAACAAGGGCTGACGGGGCTCAGAGAGAGGGGACACTGGCGCCGAGTCGAGGCCCCGCGCCAGTGTCCCTCCGCTTGGTCCCGAGACCGGCGGAGGCCAAACCACGGAGGCAGGGGTACTTCGACGCAGCTGCTTTCCTTGCAGGCTTATCGCGCGTACCGTGCTGGTCAAGCAGACCCGGCATCACCTCTTCAAGGCCCGGATCTGTGCAGATCTGTTCAGATGTGGCTGCGATTTGCTTGAGGCCGATGCTATGTAGCGCTGGCAGCTTCAGTCTTTGTTGCGATGAAGTCGAACTCTGCTCGGCGCTCCGCATCCTCGCAGATCTTAGCGAGAGTGCTCCGGCGAGCTAGGAGGAAGAAGCGAGAAGAGACAGAGTTTGACCCTATCGTCGAATACCGCCGGGTGCAGGAAGATCCCATTGGCTCTTGGAGCTTCCTGGAAGACGGCGAGTTCGCAACGCGTGTGCTGGCGTGCTCGGCCGCCGCATTCTTGCCGGCTCTCTTGTTGACGACGATTGTTTTTCCACCCGCAGATGAGGATGGAATCATTTTCCAAAACATGACAGCATCCTTCTTCTATGCCATCGCACTTGCATTCTTCTTTACTTTCCTCCTTCTTCTGCGCATTGGTGGCCTTCTGGACCCCTTGAACAAGAATCTGCTGGCAAAGTCTTACATCGTGGAAGACAGCAGAGATCAAAAAAGCCAGCGGAACTTCGGTCCCGGGGATGGAGGCTACTATTCGGAGGTGCGGGTTAAACCGGAAGATGAGCGTCAGCGAGACAAGCTCTTAGGCGAGTACACCACGGCACCAGCCATGGCAAGGCTACGGAAATATTTGCTGGGATCGATTGCGCTGCTAGCTCTAGGATGGACGGGTGGAGCTCTATCAGGCGCAGAGATGCGTCAAGACCTGGAGCGTGACTGGGCTCTCGTTAGGGAATTTAAGTAAGTTTCCATAATAGGGATCTAGGGCAGACAATATGGTTTCCTTATTATGGTAACTTAAGTTAAATCCCTTAACAAGAACTCAGGTGAAGAGGAGGAGGGGGCCTGTGGAACGGGATGCATTCCGGGCTTCGATGTGGATGATGCCACGCTCGTAAAGAGGAGCTCCTGGATTTTCAACCGCTAGTGGATTCGCTGGATAAAAAGGAACTTCAACTGAACTCCCGTGTTTCAGTTGCATGCTAAGGAGCTTGATGCATTCTGCCGTGTTGTGCTCCTGCAGGGTAAGTAAAATACACAACTCGCCGAGCCACCGGCCAGCCGTGACAGGATGCTCATGTGGCAGAGGTAGTTCCGTCGTTTGTGCAGCAACTTGCAGCCCTTGAAAGTAGTGCCCCCGCATGAAGTGAGCGTGCCAGAGCCTCAGAGGCTGGAGGGAGCTGCGATTCTCGCGTGCCGGAAGGAGTGGGAGCAGCCAAGACCATAGTGAGAGTTTCCAAAAACGGAGGACCTTAATATAGTACCCTCGTCTGGCTTGTCCTAGTTGCGAGAGCGTAACAATATAGTACCCTCAATACTAGGATCCTTATTATGAGGACCCCAACATAAGGTACACCGAAGTTTCGGAAACTCCCCAGTGGCAGAGCCAGCAGCAGCTTTCCTAGCGGCAGGAGGGGAGACCCTGAACCTTTCCTCCTCTAAACCTCGATGTCTTGGAGGTCTCATCGACCTGGGTTCCACCACGAACTTGTTATGTTAGGATAGTTGTCAAAATTATGGCCCCTTTTTGGGTACCCTAAATATTAGGTGCCTTGTTATGAGAAGGACCCAAAAAGGGACCATAATTTTGACAACCACCCATATAATTTTAACGCTACGCCGCCCGCCTCGGCTGTGTAGCGGCAGGGCGAGGGGGCAGTCGATGTTTTTTTATGCTAGGGCGGCCTGTCAAACCCCAACCTTTACACGGTTGTTGATCGAAGTGCGAGGAGAATGGGTAGGGGAGGGGGGGGAGGGGGGGGGAGGGGGGGCGGAGGGGGGGCGGAGGGGGACGGGGGGAGGGGGGGGAGGGGAGGAGGGTGAAACCATAAACCTCTAAAGGGGTAGCTCTAACCGGTACCTACAGCAATGGCTGCATGCTCATACATATACATTCCGCTGCCCATTGGCTCACAGTGGTTTTACCATATTGAGACAAGACAAGCTCTCCTTGCGTAGCAAGACAAAACAACTACTGTCCGTGTGCAGGGCGCTGCCCTTTGATCCTTAGGGAATAACTGGTCATACACCTCCTAACAAGGAGTATTCCTTGTGGGTGTATCGGCACAGTTTTCTGGTAGCGGAGCCCGGAAAGGGCCGCCCGCCTCACAAAGTCCGCTACAGCGGTCGGCCTCGCCGAACGCTTGACCAAGCGGATAAGAGGCAGCACAATGTCGAGCTCGCATAGCGAAGCCGACGGCAGTTCCCAATCCTCCGGGGGATATGAGAACGAAGAGACCTCCCAAGGTCCAGCCACTTATGTCGCACAGTCATATGCAACATCTGACCGCATGCTTGCATCATTAGGCATAACGCCCAAGATCGCGCCTGCCTATGATGGCACCACCTCGTGGTTTGAGTATGAACAGTTGATTGACGACTGGTGCGACATAACAACGCTGGATGACACCAAAAGAGGTCCGTCTCTCAAGACGAGGCTCTCCGGATTGGCCGCAGTACAAAAGGAATCACTGAACCGAGAAAGGCTTGCAGCCCCAGATGGAGTAGATTACTTCAAGAAGAAGATGCGTCCATTTTTCGTGAAAGGAGAACAGTACGTTTTCCTGTGGCGTTTCCTCGGCCTATTCAAGGCATGGAAGGGCAACCAAGACTTTGTGACTTGGATTGCTAAGTTTGAGATCGTGCTACAGCGCGTGAAAAACTCATGGATGGATCTCTTACCAGAGATAGCTCTGGAAGATGCCCATCCAGATTTCATGCAAGCTGTGCAGGCAGACCGAACCTTCCTGGGCCTACAGGAAGCAGCCGAGAGAGACACATACGCCGCACGCTATTTCGAAACATGGAACAAGGAACGCCTTGACAATCATCGAAGAGCGTTTCCTCTGAATGATAATCTCCTAGCTCTTCTCTTCCTAGTGCAGTCCGACCTAAATGAGATGCAACGTGAGAGGTTGGTAACAGCATTGACCAACCAAGGTCACCGAATTGAGACCTACACGTACCCTGTGGTACGGCAGACCATGTTCGATCAGTTCTCAACGACCAGAACTGGTCTGCAGGATCCCAACATTCGGCACTCTTCTCACAAGAAGGACCGCCATGGAAGGAGAGACCAACGCCGCAAACGCGGAGGTCGAAACTTCCTCATCCTCGATCAGGGTGAATACGATGGAGTCGATGGATTCTGGCTCCAAGACGAAGACACCCTTGAGGAAGGCTTTCTTGCCGCCGAGGATGAAGAAGCTGTCTTCTGGACAGTTGATGACCATGAGGCCTTCGTTGCAAGGAGATTCAAAAAGGGAAGAAGACCAAGAATGCGATGAAGAAGCTGTCTTCTGGACAGTTGACGACCATGAAGCCTTCGTTGCAAGGAGATTCAAAAAGGGAAGAAGACCAAGAATGCGTCCCGGCGGGAAGAGCAAAGGGTGGCAAAAAGGACGTGGCCGTTTTAGGTCATACCGCGGAAAAGGGAGAGCCAACCAGGCAGAACATGATCCAACTGATTCCAGCTATTTCGGTAAAGGTAAAGGAAAGGAAAAAGGAAAAGGTGGAAAAGGCAAAGGAAAAGGAAAGGACAAAGGAGATAAAGGAAGCTCCTTCAAGGGCTCAAAAGCAAAAGGCAAAGGTAAGGATACAGCTAAGTCTGCCTCCTTACAAGGAGACCAAACTGGATCTCCACAGGCCTATGAAAGTTCCACCGCACCGAGCTGGGATTCATGGTATGAGGACAGTTATTATACTGACTCCAGTTGGAATTATGCCGCTTATGACGATCAAACGTCTTATACATACTATGCATCACAAGCCTCACGAAGAAAAACACGGAGAAAGAAGAGAAGAAATCAAGCAGGATCATCAGGTAGAGGCACAGATCCGAGCGCGCACCAAGAACCCGTGTTCAACTCATCAGTGAGTTACGTGCCCCAGGTCTCTGAACCATCCGAGGGGCAAGGTGTGGAGACTGCAACAGCAGTGTTTCCGTTGCAGCACACCGTCCTATCTGCTCTCACAGAGCGGATCAATCTTGATAAGAGCCCTACCTTTGTCATACTTGACTCTGGTTGTACTAGGGCTATGGGTTCCCGCTATGCGGTGAACAGGCTTATCAAGGCCGTGAAGCAACATGCCCCAGGCATGATTGATTTCACTTTTTCACCTTCGAACACGAAGTTCTCTTTCGCAGATAGTGAAACAGCTCTTATCAAGGAGCGTGTAACTCTATGGTTCAACACAACTCCAAGAAGAGATACAACCATAGAAGTTTTGGATCAGGGGAGAGTCCCCATTTTGTTTTCCATCGAACAGATGAGGAATTTAAGAATGACCCTCG